GTCTCTTGGAGGAGAGACGAAACGTTTCATTAGAGAAGAACCCGTCCAGAAGACCTATACAAATTTTTTCTTTTTGAATAAAACAAGGTCTTTGTCTGCAATGATTAGACATGTTTTTTTATTATTGTCATTAGTGATTATCTCAATTTTGGCTAAAAGAATTGACAAAATCCTACACACTGTGCCTTTAAAGGCAGGAAAAGCAGAAGACTCGACCGTCCAAATTYGCWGCCACTTTTTTTCCAGTCTTCGCAGTKGTTGACCAAGTTCACCGGGCAGGCCGGTTGTTCGAAGGACCTAGCCCCTGAATTTGGACTCAGCCAATGGCAACAATCATGTACTGTGGCTGACAAGTGCAAACGCTCAGCAAACACATGAAAGATGGAATCTTCAAAACACACAAACACAAAAATACCGGAGCCCTTATAAATACAACAGAATGCAGAAGGTGTGTTTTCCTACCTTAATGTCCTTACAGGGGGTCTGGTCCCAAATGACATGGTAATCAGGCCCCCCTAGTGGTTTGGCGCTTTTCTATTTYGTGGCACATTTGCAGTTGTGTTTGGTTGTTTGCAGCAATTTTTGTTTGCATGTTTTCTATGTTGTCTATTTTTTGTGATTGCCTAATTTTTGTTTTGCGCTGTTCTTCTGTTGTGTTAGTTTTTGTGTGTTTTGGAGTTTGTATCATTCATGTGTTTTTGCAGTGCATTTTTTCTGAGCATTTATGCCTGTTTACCACCATAATCTTTGAATAAACAGAACAAAACTAATTTATAGGCCACTTAAAACATTTGTCAGATTATTACCAACAATTAACACGTTTTTTTTTAATTTCAGCTAAACTCTTATGTAACTGGGAGAATGGAAAGGTTCTTCAAGGAGCCACTAAAATTTGATCCAGACAGATTTCACCCAGACGCTCCCAAGTAAGTAGAAYAAAATGATCTCATAATGTTAGATTTTATTTCCTGTGTTACCTGTGGCAGATAAAATTAAATAACCTTCTTTCTGTTTATTTTACCAGACCTTATTACTGTTATTTCCCCTTTTCTCTTGGACACCGCTCATGCCTGGGACAGAACTTTGCTCAGGTGAGTGAGATAAAGACATCAACTTACTGTCTGTAAACCCAGAGCTTAAACAAAACCTCAGACAGCTCGATGGGTGGTTGTGTATTTTCAGATGGAGGCTAAAGTGGTGATGGCGAAGCTGCTTCAGAGGTTCGATTTCACCCTCGTTCCAGGACAGACCTTTGACATCCAGGACACTGGTTCTCTGAGACC